ATAATGTCTGCCCATGTGACTTGTTTTTATTATTTGTTTGCTCACCTTTAAACACTGATTTAAATATTGTAATTTTTAAACTGAGCAGTAATTTTACATCCATGGAAACTTTAGATACATTCCTTCTCTAACACACCTGGACCATTGACTCATTATAAGCCTCTACAGACCTGAATGAGGGAAGTCAACCTTTTGTCTGCGGTGTTTTAGCAGGGATGCTCTCCTGATCTGTACCGTCAATGTGGCCCGTTGAGGGGGGCCAATATGCTGAAGTGGCCCTCGATGAAATTGAGTTTGACACCCCTGGTCCATGGGGTGTTACACTCTGATTAGGTCTCCAGTTTATCACATCTACAAAATGAAAACAAAATAACATTTGTTGGTTTCCCTTTTTCTTTGAATCCATATTTAATTTCCAGTTGGATATTTTAATTTTTCTTTTACAAGTAGAACGTAAAAATAGATAGTAAATAAAAACATCAACGCCTCAATAACCTTTTCAGAAAACAGTTTCACTTTTACTAATTCAGTGTGAAATTTTCCACCAGTTTCCAGAACAAAAACAGAAGAAAGTTCCTCAACTTCTTCATGCTGAATTTACTCAGCTGTAAAATGTTTAAAGACTTTCTTACATCTGAAACCTAATTCAGAATAACCAGGTCACATTTTATAATTAGGACCAATAAGTATTATTTTCACTCGGCTGCCTTCACTCATATAAGAACTTGAGATGGGAGTTAGCATCATCATTTCTAATCTTTTCAACCACAACTGTTTCACCGTTTTCCAAAAGGTGTAGAAGTGCCTTCATGGGAATTGTTGATCATCTCTTAAAAGCGCATCTGTGAGGTCAGATGTTGGATGAGAATACGTATCTCACAGTCTATGTTGTAAAGGTGTTTTATTGGATTAAGATAAGGACTCTGCATTTCTTCCAAACCAAACTCACTGGAGTGTTTAGTAAAGAGGAAACTTTGGGACTGTACTTACAGAACAGGTAACATGCTGAAGTTCACTTGCATTTTGGGTTGGATTTTATACACGAAGTGACTGGAACACCTGAATTTAGTGATTCAGGTAAAAACTGAGAGCATTTACAGACAGCAGGGTTTCGTGTCTGCTTGAAACACTTCAAGCAAATTATTTGACGTTATCTTTCTGCTGACCTCATCTTATCCTATTATGGCTAGGACTGTCTTGCTAAGCAAGCAAGATTTGAATATTTACTGCAGTTTTATTTCACCTGAAGTTATGATGCAGGAAGCAAACAGATATATTCTTCCTCCAAACTTCCTTTAACACAAAATGATGATTTCATTCAGGAGATAAAGGTGTCCAAACTTACCAGATCCTATGTATAAAAGCAACAAACTGTCACACTGACAGTCAAACACGGTGGTGGCAGTATAATGGCTTCGGGGTGTTTTGTTTCGTCAGGCGCTGGTCAACTGGATATAATTGACAGAATCATGAATTTTGCTCTCCATCAGAAAATCCAATCTAAAAGATAAAATGTGTTAACTTTTCTGACTTCTTATAGAAGATAGCTGTGCTACAGTGCTAGTGCTTGTGAATAAGATAACAATAAACAGCGATTTAGATACTATTTTCTGTTTATCTTTGTCCTTTCTGGGTCACTACTAGTTTAGATGGAGATTCTGTACATCTTGTAAATGTTCATACTTAACGTTGACATATTCTTGCTTTTCTAACTTCTATTTGCAGCTAGCTATGCTGTGTGGCAAAACTCTACCTCCATAAAAAAACATTTGCCCCTGCAGATTTGTTTAGTTTTTGCTATTTTGTTACTGTTAATTGTTTCAGATCAGTTTTGTTTTGGTTCAAATTCAGTTGCCACACCCAGGCCGGATTCTGGGCTCACCTATAGAAACACATCACTAAAGCAGAACCTGTCTGACAGCATGAAGTAGGCTATAAGAAATTAAAATAATTCCCTAATCTTAAGTAATTTATGAACAGAGTCATTGCTAATTGGGTAAGTCCTTTATCACAGTGGTTGGTTTGGACCTTTTTCTCCTTTACGAAATTAAATTATTTCAAACAAATCAATTTTGTTGATAAAATATATTTAGAGGGATATAATTAAGCCGCCTTGTATCTTTAGGAATGTTACGGCTATGCTAGCATTTTCTTAGCATGTTGGTAACGATTTTTAACGGCGACCACGAGAGGGAGCGCTAACCCGCCGTCTCCAAAACTCTTCTACCAAAAAATTTAAAACTAAAATGTCATCTCCAACCAGCCCATTACAGTTGGGTGGCTCATTTATTTAGTCACCATTTTTTAAATATATAAATTAGTTTACGGAAGCTGTCTGACCAGCTCCTTGTCCAGCTCAGTTTCTGGGTCTGGTGGTTCCACCACCTTATTCTTCGGTTTAACGGCCGCGGACAGGCGCTCCCTCTGGATCCTCTGCTGCCTCTGCCTCCCCAGCAGCGCCATCACCTCCTTCTTCTGGTCGGCCATGGCCTGGTACCGCCGCCGCTCGTCCTCTCTCTGCCGTTCACTGCACACGGTGAGTGGGACCGGGTCGTCAACATGGGAGGTCCCGCGGCGCTGCGGACGCGCCACCGGCAGCCGTTGGCGGATGTCTGCCGATGCTAACCGGGATTCCAGCGGCGGAAGAAGGGCTATGGATTTCCAGAGCTGCCGGGCGTGAGACCCATCCTCCGAGGAAGAGCCTTCAAATACGATGAAAAGGTCATCAACCTGTCCGTCTTGCGTACTTTTTTGTGCCATTTTACTTCACCAAGATTTGTTTCCAAAACACGTCCAAAACTTCTCAGTTGTTTACAGTAGTCACCATGGAAACGAACCGCGTCACAAGGAGAGTGGTGGTTGTCAAAATAAAAGTCGATGAAGAATAATGCAATAAATTTGATATGATTGGATCATTTGTATTAATTTTACAAATATCTCTATATTATTGTAGATGATTAGAGACACTAAAAATGGACTTCAATCTTAGAATTCAGATTTTTTTTCTCAGAATTACAATTTTAATCTTGAAACTTACATCAGTGTAAAATTCACAATTATATATATATTTTTATATAAATTCTTAGTTTGTATCCTATTATTAAGAGTTGAAAGTTAAAATTTGGATGGTAAATTCCATATTTATCACTTTCAATCCAAAGGAAATTAGGTTATGGTTGACAAAAATGTTAAAAATAAAAATTGAAGCAGCAGGTGTATTATCTTATAAAAACTATCAAAAACCACCTCACCTATGAAAATAAATCCAAATAATTTCAACTTTAAAGATCAGATTATCACTTTAGATTAGAGGCTTCATGTCAGACTACTTTTGAAGCACAAGTAATAAAAATATAAGTGTTGTTCCAGAAGTGTTCATTTTACAGATTTTAAACTTATTTTACCTGAACAGGGATGCATCGGTCCAGTCTAGGGTTACAATTTGGGTTTTTCATTATAGTTTAGTTTTATTTCATTGTGACTTTTTGTTTGTGCAATTCAGTTAGTTTTAATTAGTTTTTTTTTAAAACTATATTTGCTAGATTTTATTTGTTTTTTATTAGTTATAGCTGTAGTTTTAGTTTTTTTCATACTTTGGTTAATTTTTAGGTGCAGAATTCATAAAGGTCAAAGTGTAGTGATTATATTTACATTGTTTGGGTGATGAAAACTCAACAGAAGATACAATTTTCCAAAAATGTATTCAGTTATTGTTGAACAACCAGCTGACTGCGGCGTCTTCTCCCAACATTTCCTGTCACCATTTTGCAGACTAGTGACAGTGGATCATCTTGATTTGCAGACTGATGAAGTAAACTACTTGTGGGGGAAAATAGTAAATTTCACGTCAATTGGAAAGGCTACAAAATGAATTCATAACAAGAATATTATAGCTATGATTTCATTATGTCTTAGCTAGCTTTATAAATGCACAATATAGTTCCAGTTAGTCACAGTTTTTTATTTATTTCAGTTTACTAAAATGTTTTCTCAGTTTCTCTTTGTTATTTTGTTAGTTTTAGTTAATGATAATTACCTGCCCTCTGTCAGTATTTGATGCAGAAAGTGATATTTAACATTTTAGAAAGAATTAGGGAAGTTACAGAGGAAAAAGAATCAAGGCTGGAAACTGTTTTATTCTTGAAAGTTTAGGAATAAAACTCTGAAAGTGTTTATTTGCCTTAAAATAGTTGCTATGTTGCTCCACAGGTGCTACTGTTGATGCGTTAGCGATAATTCATCTCTGGTCCAGAGTGAGGAGCAGGAAAAGCTGAATGTGGGCAGATAGGAGCAGATTTTGCTCAATGGCGATCCAGCAGCTGTGGGAAGAAGGCGGTGGCGGCGTGCCGCTCCACCCAGGTGTCGCTGAGAGGAGGAGGAAGAGCGACATCATCATCATCATTAACAGCATCACTTCTTTCACCTGACATGATCTTCTCATTTCCCTGGAGTTCAGGCAGCAGCATCCTGCACTGAGGACTGAAGCACAGAGCCGTAAGTAAAAACAGCATGAAACTAACTCTCTGATCTGATTCACTTATTGCAATGGTAAAGTTATGATTGTGCAAGACAAAGAAATGCATTAAAATGCATTAACGGCATTTTCTTTTGTTAGATTAATTAAATTACATTTAGTTTAAAATGAATAAAAAAGGAGTCAGTTTTTCTTGTTTAGAGTCTTTATGGCAGATAAAATCCACATTAAAGATGCTGCATTTATTGTTGGTCGCTGTGCAGCTGCTGCCACACATCAGTGCATCCTGACATGTCACCATTTTGGTGTAAACGCCAAGCTTGGCTGGACTCAGGAGCCGCTGCACCTTATAAGGTGAAATGCCAGATAAGTTTCTTCTCTGCATTCCAGTTGGGGCTACTAGGCTACCAGGAGCAGCAGGTTAGCCAAACATGGGCATTCCAGCATGGCAGCTCTGCTGTTTGACTATCTGTGTGCTGCTTTTCATGTTTTATTACCTGCTGTTCAATGGGAGGTCAGAGAAGCACTGTGACCTGCAGCTCAGGATAAGTGAGTAAGTAACTCGATGCAAAGCAGGGAAAAGTTCCCAGGTTGTTATCAGCAGCAGCAATAAGTGGGGAGGCACTGAAACCAGCGGATCTGCAGCAGGTTGGAGTCAGAAATGATGAGCTGATGCTTAGAGATTTTCTGTGTTTAATCAGGTTTTATCTGAAGCTACAAGAGAAGCTTCAGAACTTTTGATGTTTGCATCTTATTTTTATAAAATAAGATGCTATTTAATAAGATGATATTTACTTTGTTAAGCACTGGGCCTGTCGCAATAAGCAAAAAATCAGTTAATCGCATGATAAATTAGCTCAATAATTTAAATTTCCATGATTTATTGCTTTTCTATTTCTACCAAAAACAGTCTGCTTGTTTTTGAAGGACAATTTTGTTTACAGAGACTTTATAATTAATTTTATTTGTTGTTTTTGTTGTTTTGTTTATTTATTTTGGATATTTAAAATGTCTTCCAGTTCCAGTGTTAAATGTTAATTAGAATTTAAAGTTTATTGACCTTTGAGAAAGAATTCCTGCATTATTATGCCATTACCATTATATTAGGTGAAACTTGTTGTAAAACAACAATATTATTAATACAATTTGTTATTGTGACTGGCCTATAAAGATTTATTATGGTATAAAAGTCTACAAAGCTGGTTGATAATTTTACTCATAAGAATATTGTTGAATTTTCTGTTCTCAGATTAATCCCTACAGTATCTTCTTATTCAGTAAATTAGAATATTATTGAAAAGTTATTTAACTTTATAAGCTCATTAAACACATTATATGATTAATTCTGATTTTTCAAGCTTTACACTGCAAAAACACAAAATTTTACCTAGAAATTTTTGTCTATTTTCTAGTGCAAATATTTTTAATACACTTGAAATAAGGCAAACTAACTTACAAATATTTTTAGCAAGATATAGAAGTTTGTTTTAAGTAAATAATATCTTAATATTGATTTTAAAAAATTTGCTAGTTCCACTGCCAGATTATTGCACTAATAACAAAACGTTTTTCCCATGTTATAAGTGAAATAATCTGCCAGAGGAACTAGCAATTTTTAATAAAAGTTAAAACAATCTCTTATATCTTGTTACTTTTACATTAATTTTGTCTTATTTCAAGTTTACTAAAATATTTGCACTAGAAACTAGAAAAAATACTTGGTACAACATTGTGTTTTTGCAGCTTATACTGATTTTCTGCTTACAGCTAATGAAAACACATTTTAGAGTGTAGTATTGTATCTGATCAATAAAAATATATATGTATTAATAAAGAAATGTGGGCTTAAAACTGCAGTATGTAACTTTTATAAAAATATACTTTTTACATATTTGTTCACAAATATGTAAAACCCATGACAGTTTGGTATGAAACTGTGAAAAATGTAGCTCCTCTGCCTTCTCCCAGTGTTAACTAGAATCAACCAATCAGAGCCAGGAGGCGGGTCTTAGCGCTGTCAACCACCCCCCTCCTTCCCTTTCTCTCTGTTATGCTGCAGTTGTGAATGCTAAAGCTAGTTAGCATAGCCACCGATGATGGCAGGCAAATTATTTTCTTGCCATCATGGAGGCGAGTCCTCATTACACATTTAGTAGCGAGTACATGAGATTGATTGACAGCACTAAGACCCTCCTCCTGGCTCTGATTGGTTGTTTTTGGTCTGGAGCGATGCATTTCTTCTGGCAGCAGTAGCAGCTCAGGGAGGAGGTGAAGGAGATCGATCTTTTCACAGATTATCTGTCTCATAACATGGAGTCATGGCATGGTGACAGTTTTAACAAATATGTAAAAATAAAAACATATTTTTGATAAAAGATACAAACTGGAGCTTTAATCAAAAGTAGAGCTAGGTTCCCAAACTTTGATAAAAACCCAGCTGCACCATAAACCAACCAGAGAAGGGTCTAATCAAAATATTATTTACTGTCTTTAAGTTCTTAAATTTACTAACTGTGTTGATGTTTTACTCCTGTGACATCAGCAGGTCAAAGGTCAAGCAGTTAGAGGAAACATCAGCCCCAACCACTGCTCTAGAACCCGACGCCAACCCCAACATCAGCTCCTCCACCTCTGAGTCTCCAGTAAACACCGCCGCCCCCACCGACCCTGCCAACATGGCCGACTTCCCTACGGACGACAGCAAGTTCCTCTTCCTGGAAAACGACTTCCGTAACAGCGGCGTGGCCCAGGCCGACTGGGCGGCCAAGAAGATGGTGTGGATCCCATCAGAGAGGGAGGGATTCGAACCCGCAAGCATCAAGGAGGAGAAGGGAGAGCAGGTGCAGATTATTTACACGGTTATTCACCTCCTGGGCATTCCTCAGGGGTCACTCCTGCTCCCCTGTCGTTTCAGTTTGTCTACATGCTCACTCTGACCAGGTTTTGAAGAATCATGATTATGCAGAAAACAAAAACCAATAAAGCTGCCTTGCTATTCTAATAGTCTGACCAGAATTTATCTCAATTATAAATGTAAACGTTTTGGGAGATATTCTGTGGAAAAGCCTCTTTTGGTTTATAACTAAGGTGTTTCATTAAATAAAACCAACCATGTTTTAGATCAACATTTACCAAACATTCAGTTGGTTAATTATAGAGTAAAATAATAAAATCAGTCCTCCTTTTCTAAGCCCATCTGAATTATTGATAGATTATCTTCTGTCCTTGATTCTTTCTCAATTGTTTAGATTAATGTATAAAATTTACCAGATAAATCTTGATGCACATGCAGCACTGCAAAAACACGTTTCAGTTAAAATGTCTTAGTTCACTTTAAATAAGACAAAACTAGCTTGGAAGTAGCTTCTCATTACAATAT